AATTGAGAGAGTAGGAAAGCTAAGAAATACCTGTAAATATAAGCATTTACTGAATGAATAAAGCTGATTCTGCAGAACTTATAAACCCTACTGAAAAAAAAGCTATGGACACTTTGGATTTATAAAATTTCCGCAAAGTTTAAAGGCTAAAATTTCACACTTCATTTTTCCGCAGTGCAAAAACTAAGGTTTGCAATCGTAGTTTGCACAACAGAAACTACGTGAATCATGAAGTGGCTGTAATTAAGGGGACCGACTGGGGTTTTCATTGCGCAATACTTCACGCAGCATAGTAAAATCGAGCTTAAAAAAGCAATTATTTTCAAATAATGTATCAAATTAAACAAATTAAAAATTACATGTTAAAAGAAACTTATTCCAATTTTCAAAACGGATTTTTAATGATTTTTCAACTGATAGGTAGATGAACGTCGTAAAAGGGTGTTCGTGACGTTATGATAAAATGAAGTTCTTTTTTTTCATAAAAATGTTATGAAACAAAAAATAAAAGAATATATACTTTTGAAATTTTGAACACAGGAATTTGAAAAACTAAAAATTATTTTCTGACTTTTTTTACATAAATCATTAGTATCTTTCATATTTTGTAGTACTCCATAAAAACAGAAAAAATTCTAATTTTGAGATGCCCCCTCCGGAAACATGGCGATATATTTATTTGTTTCTTACATATTGTATATAATAGAACTGCTCATCACATCTTCTAATTTGAGCAAAAAGCCTATTGTAGTTTTTGTAAAATTTGCTTTGAAGTGCGAAAAACTAGAACCTTCCCTTATAATCCCATACTAAATCTACCAGTATTTTGAGACGGTCCCTTTAAATATTCAGATAGATTTTCCCAAAACTTGGCATGTATACTGAAGTCAATGTACGTTACATAAATTATAAAATTATAGATTTTTCTATTGTAGTTTTCATACATAAACCTCTTTGTGCAAAAAAGGTGGATTCTAATGCAACAGTTTTGTAAAATGCACTGATGTATGAGGTAGCTAAACGCGAAAGCGTTTGATTGTGATGTCATAATTGAATGACGCAAAAACACAGCTTTTCATGACGTATTTCATATAACAAAACTTAACAAAATATGACTAAAATATTGATTGCATTAGAATGAGAAAAAACTATCTTCTTTCTTATTTAACGGTCGCAAACTGAGTTTTGTTTACCGGCGACTCAAAAGCGGAGCCGGTAAAACGGATATTTGCGACAGTTTAATCAGCATTAATGGTCGCAAATAACAAGTGATAAGATAGTTATTCCCTAAAATACATGTCGTTTACCTTGCTTTTATTTTGTTATCCGCTTTGTTGAAGGTCACTGCTTCACTGTACCTGCAGTATTATAAAAGAACGATCGATTTTCTTCATTTTAAATTGTGCACTTATCAGGTAATGCAGGTAGGCGCTATGAAATTTTTTTCAAAAAAATAATTAACCTAAAACTGTCATACTACATATAGCAATACCAATTTTTTGCTGTACATAAATTAATTAAACTAGACAAGAATTAAATACTTATTAAGTGTTCTGCCTCCATAGGTTCTTTTAAAAAATGCAGGTATAAATTTTGAAATGTCCGTCCATCATGCAACAGGGAGTGGATATTGAATTCCTTTTTCCACAGATACTGACTTTATTGAGCAAACCTCCGTTCTCTGTTAAAATCTGAAGAAAGCATTTTTTTATCAGCCGATAATGTTAATTTTTTTGTGGTTTCTTTGCTGAAGAAAAAGAATATGCAGCTTAAAATCTCCACTATAACCCAGAGGGTTTAATATTCTTCCTGCTGTCACATTGTGCATGCTGTGACGTTATTTAAATGACAATTTTATTGATTGAGGTGCTTTCATGTATCAATATGAACAAGCTTTGTAAAGCAGCAATATTTAAACAAGGATGTTGTTTAGTGTTTATAAAACTTTACTTAACCTGCATATGTCTATTTTATAACAGTATTATATCAATATTTATTTCCATCAACATAAAATTAATCGCGCAGGAAAATGTTCTATACAGACGATTACTTATCGATTGGAGCAATCATCCATATAATAAACAAACGGTATCAAAACCGTTTGTCAGCAAAATTTTTGGAAATTTAAATACTAAGTATTTATTAATTCGTTAAAGATTAACTGTGCAACTCTATGAATTTTGAAAATTGATTAAAAGGCCTCTTAACTTTAAGAGTTTGCATTATATCTAAATTTACTGAAAACCTTGGCTGAGAAACAACAAAGATCATACTTTATTTTGAAAGAATGGCAACAAGTCAAAATGGCATCTCTTAACCGATCACAACCTTAATGAAGTTTCTGCGTAACAAATCCTAGACAATGCTAAGCCTGCACGGATGTAGAAGGGGGTTAGGAGCCCCATCCCTCTTGATTTTCATTTATTAAATTTCTGTGTAAAATTTTGTTTTGTTTTGGTTGTTTTTTTTGTTTCTAATTTTATTCTTCTTTTTGCTTGTCAAAAAATGTTTGAGTCCGATATTTGTTAAAGTTGGTGTGAACTCCTCCCCTTCTCCAGAAAAATCCTGGATCCGCACATGCGATGGATAAAATGCAGGTGCATTTACTTTCTTATCTGCTTTGTTAAGTGTCCCTATTTAAATGTGCACGCGGTATCACAACTGTATGACAAAGCCTATCATATTTAACCTTCTGCGATGGTAATCAAATAAAGGTAAGTGTTAAGCATTTTTGGTATTACGACGCTAGATTTTGTCCTTTTGACATTACTCATTCTACTGTTATTGAAAGTCTTTCCTAAAAATACTTTTAGTCCTTAAAAGAAATGTAAGATATATCCCCACCTACTACAAAAGAAAAATGAATTTATTATAATTACACTGACTGATTAAGATACAAATTCTCCATTTCCAGTGGTGCGTAAATTTTATGTTTTTAAATCCATATTAAAAAGTCATTGACATTGAATTGAATTTCTTTTTTAGCCCATGGATAAAACCGTTATCTCGATTGTGTGTGATTGTGTGCTTTAAATGTACGTTGATCTAGTAAGGATATTATTATCCAAAACAATGCTCTTTTATGGTGAATTACGCGATAATTTAAAGTAGTTGGTTCTGGAATTTACGCCAATTTTTACATTGCCCTTATACGATTGCTTGTTCCTAAAGCAACAGTTCCTCTCCCCGATGTAGTGATCATATAATATAAAAAGGTCCCGGACCATCCGATATTTCTCATATGGAGATGTTCCAATATACCGGTAAGGGGGTTAAAATTTATTCCTTTACTCGACACTGAGTCCCGCAGATCAATGAGGGAACTTTATCTGCCATCGCCTGTCGTAACAAGGGGCCTCGCTTTTTAAGGTCTCATCCGAAAGACCCATAACTTCCACTTCAAAGCACTTGGCGAAAGGAGAGTTGCTATTTATTTTGTTTTTAATCGACTTGAATCAGTTGCTACCGGGGTTTCAACCAGCGACTTTTCGATCACGGAGCGAGTGCTCTACCGATTGAGCCACAGTGACGGTCACCCGATCAAGAAATGAGCGCCCAACTACTAGACTGCTGTGACCAATTGAAACCCTTCGAAGAAAAATTATTTTTGAAACGCATATAATTATCAGTTTGGCGTACACGCTGACCTTCAAAAATACATAAATGAAAAAAGAAAAGATGTCATTATTTTTCTAAATTTTGAAATATGGTTTATTTCCTTTTGTACTGTGTGATTTAAATTTTTTTGATTTTTTTCTGATTGCATTTCCTGACATTGATGTTGGGTTTTTTTTTTCAATATCAAACAAAGAATATATTTGTTTGAGCTTGTAATTAAGTAATTAGCAAATAAAGTTATGTATAGAAATTAATGAGGAGGAGCAATGGAAATTCCTCTCAAATTAGAGATATCCTTCAGGAAGTACAAAATAGTCAGAAAGAAATGTCTCAAAGTTGAATTCTCTGATAGCTTTCAGGATGAAACATGACTTATTAGATAAAAACAAAGGGATTGGGCTGGAAGAAAGTCCGAATTGTAAGACGTATGAATTATCTTTTTTAAGATTTATATGATCTTTGAAATCTTTTCAACAACAGAGGCATGATTAATCAAACCGGTAGTGAAGTCTTACATGTATAATGTGGACTCAGATGTGTTCAAAACATTGCCCCTTCTTAATGATGGGGCTACATTAGGGTATGAAATTACTACATAGAGAATTTTTTTTTTTTTAAAAGAAGAGAAGATTTTTCATCTAAATTTTTTTTATCATATCGTACTCTAGAAATTACATGTAAGGTTGTTGTCTCTTAAATCAATAGTGAAACTACAAAATAAATAGTTATGTGAATTCAGTGCAAAAGAGGCAAATAAAACGTAAATATTACAACATTGGTATTTTATTGCTGCATGATCCTAATATTATAAATATTCTATCGATATCTACACTAAAAATATCTTAAACACATTGTTGACGTGCATTTTCAGCTTTTTTTTTTTAAAGAGAGTATTTTTTTTTTTTTTTAAAAACTCTACAATTTATTACATAGCTATGGGGATATGGGATAGGCTAAAAATTACGATTTGAGAGTATAAACGACAATCTTCTTTTGAAAAACAGGTCCACAATTAATTTTAAAACGCTTGTAGATAATTCATGTTTTAATTGCTTAAGGTTTTAACTTTTGTCGTTGAAATTCTCTAAATAGAGACTAAAGAATACACTAAAGTGAGGCACGAACAAATTAAATTCATTTTAAAGTTTTAGATAATGAAATCGGAAAGGAAAACACTAACAACATCGATACGCAATATAAATATCATAAAAACAATGCATGTCATAATTGATTTTGAATTATCAAAAACCATATACATGTAACTCATATTCTTTAGATTTCAAAATGTCGTTGTAGGGGTCATAGCAAACAAATATATAAACCATTCACAAATAATTTTGCTTTTACAGTCATTTATGTCATATTTAATTTACTGATTAAAGGATGGGAACAGAGGTATCCAAAGAGCAAAGTGATCAAGTCCTTGTCGACGCCAAAAGTGAATATATTGATGAAGTCCTACAACAAGAAGACAATAACAGCGATCATGAGAGCGAGGAACATGTTCACGGTAACAGAAAGGGAAAACATTTATGTTACACAGTAGCGAGTTACAACCAAAAACCAATTTATAAAATCAATGTTTGAAGAGGTGCAGTTAATATTCTTTCATTTATGAATTTGTTTCTTTTTTTTTTTTAGAATTAAGTGAATTGGACAAGCTTGCGCAAACCATAGACCCGAAAAATTATCTCGATGAGTATCCTTTCGAAAATCTCATTTTTGAGGGAGGTGGAGCAAAGGGGATAGCATATCCTGGAGCATTGAGGGTGAGATATTTGAGATAATTGTTGATTTGTATTTTGTATGATATGAGTACTTTTACGATAATTTTGAACATGTTTTATCATTAAATATTAGGAGAGTGCAATATGGTAGCAAAACCTAAGTTAATTATTAACCTGCATAAATTAGCTGTCCTGACTAATCCTTATTTTCTTTGATAAAAAATCGATTTCCTAAATTTAAGGAGATTCATTGCCAATTATTCTAGATTTCTTGCGATATGTCTCACGCAGTGTCGTTTTTATGTAGGTAAATAATACGTAATGATATGCGATTTCTTTCCATCAATAGAAGCGATAAAAGCCATATGAATAATATAAAAAAAATTATGTACAGTCTCAAAATTTAAAAAAAAAATTAAGAGAACTACCACTTAACAAAATGAATAATATTTCACTTATCAAGATGTTTATGTTTTATACTTTCTCAGGTGCTAAAAAAATCAAATTTATTTTATGCATTTATATATATTATTGATGTTTTAAATCAATGTAAGATTAATATTGCTAGGAAACTTATTCCTGAATTCGTATTCAGCATTCTGTTATTGCATGATAAAATACTAATATTTTATTAATAGTAATGTACAATAAAATCAATTAATGAGTCAAGTGTTATAAATTGTTAGGTTTTTTACCAAAATCACTTCGATGTATTTATATTTTATTCTTATATTTACTCAGGCATTAGAGGAAGTTGGTATTATGACAAGGATAAAACGATTTGCTGGTACAAGTGTTGGCTCCATAACAGCAACAATGGCTGCGCTTGGTTACAAAAGCACTGAAATTAGAGAAGTCATGTCGACAGATTTTTCAAAGTATTATGGTACTGTTCTAAATTATTGTTTTGAAAATTGATTGATTGATTTTGTTTAACGCCGAGTCAGCAATATTTCAGCCATATTTCGGCGGTGTTTTGATAATTGAAAAAAGGGTACTTGCAATGTTTTTGAATTACCTGCTTACTGTAGAATTTCCAACTCAAATTGACTGATACAAACTTTTGATTCTTATTTTGCAAACTTATCCAAAACAAATTGTTATGACGTTTCATGTCAAAAAGTGTCTCTGCGTGTTTGAGAGTCCTGTATTTTTATGTTGAAAGATGCTAGGTTTGGAAAATTCAGTATCATTCCAAATCTCCTCTGGTATTTGGGATGGCAACCACTTCATACCCTGTATGATTACATCGGAGAAATAGTTGAAAAGAAACTTGGTGATAAGGACGCTACGTTTGAACAAGTAATTCTTTCGTTATTTTGGTACATTTCAATTCAGGAATTTTTGCAAAATTTATGCTTCAAAAAATTTTTTTTTTTCCACAACACAATGTATATGTGAAATAAAGAATGGCAACATAAATGCGTTAGTTTTTCAGTTATCAATATAATAAAATTTAATTGGTTTGTATTGACTATTCATTTTTCTTCTACATTGATTTCTTCAGCTTTACAAGGAGTTGGGGAAGGAGTTGTGCATTGTTGCAACAAATCTCAATGATATGGAAGAGACTTATTTTCATCCTAAAACTACACCCAAAATGCCACTCAGGAAGGCGGTTCGTATGTCTATAAGCCTCCCAGGTTAGTTTCTGCAGCCGTTATGTTACATTGAAATATGTTCAATTTTATGTACTTTGTTGTACAGATAATTTTCATATTTGGCAGGTATAATGCAGCCTATCAAACATACTGATTTTGGAGTGGAGAGCATGTATGTGGATGGTGGTGTACTTATCAACTACCCAATAGAGTGTTACGATGGTGAGTTGAAACATGCTACCAACATTTCTGTAAGTAGAATTATTAGGTCATGATCAACACCAAGCTAGTTACTATTTCAGTTTAGAAACAATCGGTCAAAATAAATGATATAAATACTGATAGAGACAGTGAATATTCTTTTACAAATTTCAAATAGCCGAATATGATTGATTTTCTATTATTTGTCTTTAGTAGGTACTTTTCAAAATCAAAAAAATCTCATACCTCAAAAAAAGATGCGTTTCATCTATCTATACAGTTCTATAAAGGCATTTTTATTTAAATTATTTTTTATCTCTTCAAAAGATTCTTAAATGTAGAACTTTTGCTTTATTTTGTAAATCATTTATCTTTCTAAAGTGTAACTCGGGACACCCTCTTCATTAAAAATCCACTGATTACATTTATTGGCTTTCATCACCATATGATCGAGTATATCTTTTTTTTTTATCTCTTTTCTTTAAGAGCCATCAATTTTCCCTCATTTCAGGGTGGTGGCTTTCAATGAAAAAGGAGGATTCGTTTTTCGAAAGATTACAACCTTTAGAGAAACTCCCCTTTATAATGGATAGAAAAAACAGATTTGCTCGTGATGAGGCTCAGTCGTCCAAATCGCTGGGATTCATACTGGTAAAAAATAGAAATTATTGTAATTTGAAGTAACAACTTTTCAATATAAACTGACGGGAGCCTTTTGTTTTCTTTTTATTTCATCAAATGTTTTTGTTTCAGTATTCTGAGGATGAGATTGAGTCTTTTAAGTCAACGTTTGAGTCCAGAAGGAAAACAAAACTACAGTTCCCAGACACACCAATGGGAAGGTAAATTATCCTTTGTACACCTTTGTAGGTGTTCAATTTGAAAACTTTGTTACCCGAATTCTCTACTATCCAATGTAGAGCAATAAGTTTTATCATTACACATACACTATTTGACATTTTAGAAGAGAAAATCGAGGAACATATTTCTGTATTTGACGACAGTTGAATTTGGACCCTCTATCATGTTAATTTTTCATGTTTAGATCTAAGATTCATTGGAATATAAATAGCTATCATCCATATGCAAATTAAAGCAATTGAAATTAAATAAAGGCAAATTGCGTGCTGTATTAAAATACGTGTATGTATGTCAGTAGCTATCCTACTTTTAGCATTGTTTTTATCTTTCATTTTTTATCAAAGGTTTTATTATACATTTCTACAACGTAAAAGAGCCAAGAACAGGATTTTTGCGTTAGACCTCATGTGTTTTGCCTTCAAATGCTAAATTTTATTAGAAATCTTAATAAATTTTCATTTGCAACTGGCATTTCCATTTCATTTTTTCATTTTTTATAAAACAAATTATTTCAGTAGTCATCATGTTCCACAGAATATAGATCCAATAGCATGTGCATTGTATTTCTATTAAGCAACTTAAAACAAAAATAACAATTTTAAAACAATATCCCAATGCAATTGATTTGTTTGTTTAACGTCTATGATAAGAATTTTTTACTCATATTGAGACGCCACTACCTGCCAGTGGAGGACTACAAATCTAGACCTGTATTCGACACTTACGGCCTTTGAGCAGTGGGGGATCTTTTTCGTGCCAGCACCTATTGCAACACTGAACCGCGATTTATAAGGTCTCATCCGAAGGAATGGTCTCCATATCTCGCTGTAGGATTTGAACCTGCAACGTAAGGATCAAATCCTTACTCCACGACTCTTGAGCGAAAGCTCTTACCACTGCGCCACGCAGGCGACCCAATCCAACTGATTGCATTAGCATCGAAAATTTAAGATTATCAAAATTAACGAAAACATCTAGTAATTTTCGTTTTTGTTTTTATTTAAATGAAATATGAAGATAACAAACAGTTATCAATCTCAGAAGTCCAATGAAACATTGCAAATTAGGACCTCTAAAAATATCAGCGATGGGATCAGGTACCATGGAGGAATAAGCATTCCCTGTCGACCGATCATAGCCGCCATGTACTCCTTGTCATGATCGGAAAAACGGAAAAATCCTAGACAATTCAGTGTGTAAATTAAATAATGACCTACAAATTTGTATGAAAAAATATTTTTAGATGATATTTTATTGTAAATTTAATTTATGAAAGCTTGAGACACATTGTTTAAATGCAGATATATATGACTTTAAATTGCCATTCTTTCAGTGTTGTGGGTAGTATTAATAATTTATTTACAAGTCAGAATTTTGTATTTGCAATATTTGATTGTTTCCCCAATGTTTATTTCGAATGGGCTAAATAATTTATAATGTACAGAAATATGGTATTGCATTTAAATTATCATTATCATGTATTTTTCATCTATTACCACACTTTTTAAGATGTTCCTTTCATTAAAACATTTTTGAAATTAAAGAAAGGCAACACAGAAAACGAAAGACGAAAAGAAGTTGAATAAAGAACACCAATGTGTGAGAACTTCAGTTAGCAATTTTTTAAAGGTATATGTATTCAATATTAGAAGTGTGTTCAAATCTTTGAAAAGTATAATTTGAGTTAGATTCAAAGGGTTAATTCTAGTAACTATGTTTCCACACTTCTAGTTAAAGAATAAAAATTGTTAGTAGGAAAAAATCATGAATAAATGTTTCTTTGTGTTTTTATATATGTTTAGACCATATAATTTTTTGCAACACACAGAAGTACGTTTTTAATTTCTATTTGGGGGGGGGGGGGGGGGTTACCGAAAATATTCGAGCATTTAATAACTTTCTGTGTATATATTCGTTTCTTCACAGATACTGCAAAAGAATAACCTGGACAAAGATGAATTCATCAACAGAGAGGAACTAGAGAACACCATAAAAAGTGTTCGTACAGCATTTGTATTACTTAAAAGATATTTAGAATAGCCTCTTTCTATCTATCTGAAATAACATCATTTGTAATTCTAACATGTTTCCTTTCAGGAGGAGCTTACTGACTGTGACAAGAAACGTCTGTTTGGGAAGAATGTATCTGTTGACGAAGTGATGGCGAAACTAGACAAGGATGGAAATGGAAAGGTTCTACTTTCCTTAATAATTAAAGCCTAATTATTTACTTTTTCAGAAGAAGCTTGTCGTAAATCTTATAATCAACATCAATTCTTGAAATCTTAGAGATTTTTATTTCTTTTTGGGGGTACTAGATCAGTTATGAAGAGTTAGTTTCATTCATTGAAGAAACAGGGATCTCAGTGGTTCACAGAAGATTAGGGTTTTGTAGACAACAAGTGAATACACTACTTTCTTTACTACAAACCCTCTACAATACGATGTCACTGAATATTGTGCGGATATCAGTCAGCGTAAGTTGTAGTTAAATATGGATTAAACTAAATGGATTAAATATTGATTAACAGAGGTATAGTTCTTGATATAATTTCCCCTTAAATAAGTTTGAGTTTAATTTTCTTCTTCTTTATTAAAAACGTAAACACTGTCTTATTATTATTATTATTTTTTATTTTTTTTTTTTTTTTTTTTGCAAAATATTTTTTTTTCTTTTGTTGGTATACATGTACGTAAGGGATTCTAGCTTACCTGTAAAAATGACAAAAATTGTTTTATTATAGGCTGCTGATATGTCACGTACAGTTGGCTTGAACTCGCATTATATAGGAACCCTTACATTTGATTATACCAAAGAGGATGCAGATTTCGTTGAACAGGTAATAAAACCTACGAATATAGTTCAGTGCTTTATCAGAATACACTGAGAAACCATTTCTGATGTACGGTTTTATTGATAATCAAAGGGTTAGTCATGGCTACAAGGTGTTTTGTTACATACATGCATTAATTTGAGAGGGAGAGAGGGAGGGGGGCATGTGACCTTTGTCCGATATCGGTCTTTTGTTCGAAAATGAATAGATTCATCTTAGGAGCTAAAGAGATGTATTTATTTTCAGGAGAGTCATAATACCACTATGGCATTCTTGAAGAATTTCGTGGCAAAACTAAAGATTGAAAGAAAGGCCAAAGCTCCTGTCATAAGCACGAAGAATGCGGTGGATGACTGAAAAAAAATTGTAAACGCTTTAGAAAAGACTTTTAGTAAATATGGTGATGGTTTGTTTTAAATGCCAATCCTGTATAATGTAGATTATGAAACTAATAAAGTGTAACACACAAGTGAAACTTGTTTTTTTATAATCTACGCAGTATATCACACAGGGGCCGGGTAGCTTACTATTTTTGATCTCCAAAAAGGCCAAATGGGGGTAAAAACATTTTTTCAAGAAAAACCTGGTTCCCAGAAGTCCCAGTATATATTTTCCCAATTGCCCATTCATATTTTGGAATATGATTGGTCGTGTACTGTAAATGTTCAGTTAGGCTTCGGAATTCTGCTTTTCACCCTTGAGTGGAGGGGGGGGGGGGGCAAACGCAATATTTATCTACAAAAATTTAGTCTAGTTCCCTGAAATTCTCTTACATTTTCTCAGTAGACCATTCATACTTTTAATATGATTTCTGATGTCATGTAGATGTGCTATAAGGTTTCCGGATTATCATTTTCACCTTGTGGGCTAAGATGGGTCGTAAAACGATGAGTTTTTTTTTCAATTAAACCTAAGTTCCCTGAACTACTTTTACATTTTTCAGAGTAGCCAAATTATATTTTTGAATATAATTCATATTATTCTCTAGAAGTGCAATGTTGTTTTCAACCGGGGGAGGAATGTTAAAAAATGACGATTTTCTACAAAACCTGATTCCCTTAACTCCTCTTATGTCTTATGCAGTATCCAATTAATCTTTTGGAATATATATAGTGGTATCCTGTAGGTAAGCAATAATGTTTCAAAACTTTCATTTTCACTAGTGGGTCTAATTATGGGTAGCAATAAAACAGTTTTCTACATATGCAGTACATCCTGATATCAAGAAAATATACGTGATAAGTTTAATTTGTGAAAAAAGTAAAAAGAAAAAGTCTTCGGTTGTATATCTGGGGAGAGAGGATGTTTGCTCTTATAATGTAATGTGGGATAATTTGGTATTTTTTGTAATGGAATGTTTATTTTGGGCTTTCTCATATTTTTCATATGGCAAAGCATAATTAAGATGTGTTGAGTATTTTTTTTAATTTAGAGCCATATATATATATATATATATATATATATATATATATATATATATATATATATATATATATATATATATATATATATATATATATATATATATGTATATATATATATATATATATATATAAAATTCAAAAGTTGTTAAAAGATGATGTCACACAGTAAAAATAATCATAAAAGAAAAAGAAAAAGCACAGTTTCCAAATTTCATTTAACATAAGCGCTTTCTGGATTTAACAATCCTTCTTCAGGTGTACATACTTTGAACTGATTTGTTTTGCTTGGTAACGTTAACTATGACGTCATGACGTCATGAGTGTCTTTGAAGGGAAGGAATAAATCCATGATTTCATAGTATAACGTAAAAGTTCGGGAAAATTGAATTGGACAATAAATCATGATTTTCTCAGTCTCAATAAACAAAGTACTTAAGAAATTAATTATACAAGAAAGACATGAACTTATCAAAAAATTAATGTTTGTTCAGTTTTGGTGACTTTAAAACTTTAAAAAAAAAAAAAAAAAAAAAAAAAAAAAAACCTTTGATTGTCACTGTATTTGTGAACATTTTTTAGCATGATTAAATTAAGTTTACTTCGTAATGCATATAAAAAGGTTCCTCCCATATTTACAAACTACAAGCATTAAGTAGAAAAACAAATCTGATGCATATGATCAAGAACCAATAGCATAAAACGGAGGGGCTTATAGTTTCCGTCCGGTTTTAGCGCTATGACTTCGCGCTTCAACGAATTTCCGCAAAACGGGAACATATTTTCCACGTATCGGTATGAATTGCGCAACTGAAAATTGCTTAAATATCAGGGGCTCGTTTCTCAAGAAGTCGTAGATTTGGGCCTAAGTTAGTCCGACTAAGTAAGTTACGCCAAAATTTAGACGGGCCTAAATCGCGTTTCAGAAAGCGGCGTAAGACTAGACCTAAGACTAAGACCTCTCCGCTTAGTACTAAGCATGCACAGATCGCATTTTATTTGGTTTAGAGACTACAATTACATGTGGCGGATCAATTAATATCAAACTTAAACCTAAATACAGAAGTAAAGCACGGAAAGCATGAGCGCGCGTGCATGTTTTCTCTCTTCACCATCTTTCAAACAGATATATTACCCAAAACCTATCTGTATTATCAAGGTCAAAGCATTAAAATTAAACAAGTATTTTTGTATGCTCAGATTAATTTTAAAAAAATCTATATAGGCACAAATTACATATGAAAAACATAAACGTGCATGTACTCGATTGTGATATTCACAATTGTGTTTTATACAATCGTACATTAGAACCCAAACGATGTACATAGCATACATGTATATGTACTTGCGAAAAATTGGAATACATTAAGCATGAGGAACTTTACTGAAGAATTTTCCTTTGAAAATAAGCCATATTGTCTTTTCACCTTGTTTTACATCAAAGTAAATACACATAAGGTAGTGGAAAAGACCTGGAACAGGTTCGTAGCAACTTTTCAAAAGTGGGGGAACCCCCCCCCCCAAAAAAAAAATCTGACAAACAAAAAAAAACCTCTTAACTACCAAAAAGTGGGGGGGGGGGCTTTCCAAATTAATGTGACCAAAAAGCTTCATTAACTGTCCAAGTCAAAAACCTAGTTAACTGTTCAAGTCATGGAATTAATTATGGAATTTGCCAGTTCTCGACCTTACAGCGACAAAAAGTGTGTGTGTGTGTGGGGGGGGGGGGGGGGGCACCAGTATCTGAAGGAAAATTAAATATCGCAAAATACTACACTCAGAAAAAGTGGAGGGCCGGGGCCCCCTAGCCCCACCGCTACCTACGGACATGTGGAAAATTCAACAATTATGAAATCATATGTTATTAAAATATGGATAAGAGATTTTTGAAAATTTATCACCTGTATTGAATTTATAATTTCATAACAGAATAATCACTTCAAACTGAATTAGATTTCTTGGCATTCAAGCTGATACATGTATTATAATACATGTATTACACTTTGGACATACAGTATAACACTGATATCGATATGATGATTTACACAGTCCATGTAGAAATACGCATATATACAACATTTCCATTAGCACACGTATTCTCAATAAAGGTTTGCAAAAGCTTAATCAGTTTTTAATCAATTTCTTGTAATCCATATTACAGGCAAACAATATGGTATTTTAATAAATTTCTGAAATATTTTCATTCAATATATTTCCATTCGGGATCAGATTTATTTAGATCGGGAAAGGAACAAATTTCAACATCACCATCTCTTTCTTTGAAATCTAGTTGCCCCGTTTCAATTTCTATAAAGAATATGATCATATACTATTTTTTTTATAGATGCTGAACGTTTCTTGAAGATTTTATCTAGATTTAAAGATATTAACAATTCAGGAATTTCATATTCATAAATACTTTTAGATAAGCAAAATTTCTTCTTCATGATGTTTTATGAGTATAATGCATTAGATGACAGCAAATTTGAAACTCTGTTTCTCATTTACAATAAAAAAAAACATTTTTAACACGTTATTGGCCACTTTCTTTTTAAATGCATTTAATATAAAGTGTTTATCTGATAAATTGATCAAAAGACACTCTCAAATAAATTCGTCTGAGAAAAGTACGATTGATTGTAAATTAATTAAAAACAAGTACCTATTTTTAAAAAAATGATAGACAAATCTGCACATCTTAAACGCAATGACAGTTCATACTTTGAAATAGGAAAAAAAAATCAGCATTACGGACAAGATAATTAAATACTGGAACATTTTACGAATTCATATTTTTCTGTTCTATAATTTTATATTTAATTAAAGGGGAAATTAAGGTAAAAGGTGCATTAACTTAATTGATGGCATAATTACCGAATATTTCTTATTAGGCCAAAATAAAATTATTGTTTGTTTCGAATTGCCTCCCACCTCATTGAAATGACCCCTCCTGGAAAAATGATGGGTGATACCCTTTACAAAAAGGCAGAAAATAATGTGTTCATTCCTTATTGAGATTTTGTCATCAATTCTTATTTTAACTTCAATTTTGAAAAAAAAAATAATTTCCCTCCCTCCCTCCTCGATCTGAAACCTCCCAGGCGGCAATTCCAAACAAACAATTTTTTAAGGAGGACCTTATCGAAAATATATTAAATGTATATTGTTTGAGGAGTTTTTTTTACAAAAAACATTATCCAATTCAAAAATTAAACATTATCAGGGACCCAGTGTGTGGGGGAGATGAGGAAGGTGGGGGGGGGGGGGGGTAGGTAATTGAGTAACCAAAATATTCAGCAAACTTTAATAGTACAAGAAAACAAATACTGAAAGTGCAGGTCAGCCTAAATTACAAGTTAATTTTAAACAGAAAACACCATTACTGAAAAAGCGGGAGGGTTGCAGCCCTCTCCCCCATACTACGCGTGCCTGTTTTTTTTTTTTTTTTTAACCCGGGCACTTCTTAATATCTTACCCAATTTCACAATTCATTCTTACTTACAAATTTCTAGTTCATCAAACCTTTTAACGGAAAAAGTCTGCATCCTCGCTGGATTTTTACTACCTTTCTATTTACCTACATAATAATTGAAATTTCCCTATTTTTCGCATATCATATATGTACATGAATAGGTATTATATCATATACATACAAAATAATTATTCTTTTATCTCTTTATGATCAAAACACTTGCCACTTTTTTCAAGTTGTGTACAGACTAAGAACTTACGCCTACTCATGAGCAGGCGTAGATTTAAGCTTAACTTTAGTCTCGACCAAGTCTGCGCCTTTTTGTGAAACGCTACTTAGTCCGATTTATGGATTTAGTCACTGACTTAGTCGGACTAACTTAGGCCCAATTCTACGACTTTTTGAGAAACGAGCCCCTGGGGCTCGTTTCTCAAAAAGGCCTACGACCGGGCGTAAGCTTAGTCCGGACTAAGTCAGTGACTAAACCCAAAAATCAGGCTAAGCAGCGTTTCACAAAAAGGCGCAGACTTCGTCGAGACTAAAGTTAAGCTTAAATCTACGCCTGCTCATGAGTAG